GACTGATGCAGATATTGCAACATTATATACATGATGATCAAACTGGTTTTATATCTGGGAGATATATGAAGAATAATATCAGGCAAATTGTAAATTTACTGGAATATTTGGACAAGAATAATCAAATACCTTCGGCTTTTATCTTTCTTGATGCGGAGAAGGCCTTTGACAAATTGGAATGGCAGTTTTTAAATAAACTACTGGATTATATGAACTTTGGAGATCAATTTAAAACAGCTATAAAGGCGATATATCAAAAACAGACTGCTCAGATAATTATAAATGGAGACCTGACAGAGCCTATAGATATACAAAAAGGTACTAGACAAGGTTGTCCACTCTCTCCTTTACTATTTGTATTGTCATTAGAAATTCTATTATCTAGAATTAGAGATTCTACAATGATTAAAGGTTTAAGAATTTCTGCCAAAGAATATAAACTTAAAGCTTTTGCGGATGATTTAGTTTTTACATTGTCTCAACCAATTGAGTCACTGGAAACTTTGTTGCAAGTGCTGCATCAATATGGCAAGGTGGCTGGATTTAGAACTAACGTTCAAAAGACTAAAATTCTTACAAAGAATATGACGGTTAAAGACAAAAATCAACTTATGCAAATATCAGGTTTTGAAGTGGTTAGTAAAGTTAAGTACTTGGGAATCTTCTTGTCCTCCTCTAACATGAAACTTTATCAGAATAATTATGAAAAACTGTGGAAATCAGTACAAAAAGACTTATCAATGTGGAAAAAACTTCATTTTTCCTTGCTGGGTCGTATTGCGGCCATCAAAATGAACATTTTACCTAAGTTTCTTTTTTTATTTCAGACGATACCTATTTTAAAAAATGAACTTAACTTGAAAGAATGGCAGAGAGACTTGAATCGCTTTATCTGGGAAGGCAAGAAAGCACGGGTTAAATTTAAGATTATTCAAGATGTTAGAGAACGTGGAGGACTTAAAGCTCCAAATTTGATACTTTACTATGATTCTTGTGCATTAACATGGATGACGGATTGGATTAATTTATCTAACAAGAG